TTGACCATTTCGCTTTCGAGGTACAACACAATGTCTAGTTATATCTCCTCCTTGGAATCGCTAGTGGCGTTTCCGGAGTATGGCTTTCGATTGTTCGTTTTAGCGTTAACGTGCGCGTTCAAGATTAAGCGAGTGGCGTTCGAGCGGCGTTCAAGTGCGAGCAGTGAGTATGTTTGTGTGTGTTGACTTTGAGCTTTGATTGTTACCTTGTCGGGTTTCTCCATGGTTTTCCATGGCTCTGGTATATTTACAGTTGATTGAGCTAGTTATTTTTCTAGCTTTCTAACTTGTTGTTAGTTCTTTTGTATGTTTTGATTTTTGTTTGATTTAATTTATTTGATTTCATTTTTATTTCGATTTTAATTTTAATCTTTAATTTTGATTCTTATTTTGATTTTGATTTTTAATTTTTGATTTTTGATTTATCGGTAACTTTCTTATTCTTATACTACTGCTTAAGATTACTGCTTAATTTATAGTTAACGGCTTAGAACTAATTTAATTATGATATAACTTAGAACTACTTACGAATGTACAGGCGTGTTTAATTCCACGCTAGGTTTGATATTGCTCAAACCTTGTCTTGGTCAGGGTTAGGTATTTGACGAGTTGCAACCAAAGTAGTATTTGAGTGAGCATGTCGGGTTTCCGCCTTTACTATCTTAGCCTGTGTTCGCCATTAGCAGCACTGGATCTGATGGACTTTCAGTGCATGGTTTTCGCTTTCAAAAGGATCTGACAGCCACTAATTTCGCTTTCAATTGCAAAATTGCTTTAGTTATTAGGGCTCAAAACAATTCCTTAGCAGGAAGGATGCTGCCCTTCTGTGGAAACATTTTTCCTAAGGGTTTTGGCATCCGTAGTGCGTTCTAGTCATCGAGAGTTACTCGGCCCAATGGACTGTTCTCTCGCACAATTGGTGTCGGGCCTTACTCCGGAAGCTCGAGGCAAAGAACTTTGGGTGGCTGCTATGACCATGGCCGCGACTCTTTACCCACAGTAGTGGCACCTACCGGTTGCCAGTCGATAGGGGGAAATTTGTTATCTACCCGAATTAAATTCGGATTGCCGGGACCATTGGCCCTCTGCAACTATCTCCCGGAGCGGTCTCCCGTCCTCTATGAGGGCGCGCGGTACCACAATCCCAAGAGATTTCCCCTCAAGTGACTCCCGGATTTTGGCTTTTCTGGGTTCGAGTTGAGCTCTTGGGGTGTGGTAGACTCCGCGTTGAATGTTTGGGCGTTTACAGGCCGCACCTCACCACGTATTGTTATGGTCCGTGTTGTTTTGTTTTGTTTGACCGGTTGGCCTGTAGCCCTGAGGGCGAGCGTTGTGTGTTTTGCCTACTGTTTCTTTACAGAGACAGCGTTTCCAGCCCTACCGCGTGAAGGTACACACATCCGCACTTGTGATTGCAAGTCTTCGTTCAAATGTATATTGCATTCACTTCGGGTCGACTAGCATTAGTTGCTTGTCGAGGGCAATCGGTGACGCATTTTGTACTTCAGCATTTGTATATGCCCGTACACAAAAGAGAGAAGTTTCGACGTCCTCGCCTAAAACAACGAGTTGTTTGTTTGAGGAGTCTCCGTTCTTTGCTAAGGAAGACAACTACCGTCTGCCGCTTTGACAAAAGATTTTTGCACGAAGTGACCTGGCCAGCCTCGCGGCTGGCCATATGGTGCACTATATGCATCATCCATGTTTTTGCTAAGCGGATTATAATCGAGCTTCCTGAGAGCGTCGTGATTACAACCGCCCGTACCAGCTGCAATAGCAGCTTCTCAATTATCAAACGTGTATTGGCAAATTTGCGCAATTTTTTCTCGGTAAGTTCCATTTTTATTAATTATTTTCGCCGAACGTTTAAGTTGACTTATAGATGAAACTTTTTTGAATCTATGTTGTACAGTATCCAGTTTTAAGTTTTTGTTTTTTCCGCTCCTCCAAAATTCAACGGCTCTTTGTTTATAATCAAATGAGATTTCTTCATCATCATTTTTGCACTGATTTGTTGGTGCAAAATCAGGATCAGGAAAGTGATGTTGAACTTCATCTTCGATTATTTTAGCATCAGTATCTTTATAATCTTATGAAAATCTAACGTCTCTTCAACAATCATATCAATATCATTACTCATACACAGCATCTATTAATATTTCTTTCAACTTTTCTGACAATTTAATTTCTTTGAAATTAATCTTACTATCTGGTATTTGTAAACTTTGAAAATATGCTAATAATAAATTGACTACGTTCAAAGGATTGATTTTCATGTTTTAATCTAAAACAAAATCAAGATATAAATACTCTTTTTTGCAGTTGAATAATTTTACAAAAGACAAAAGAAAACCTAGTCTATAGATAGAATTCGATCATACGTTTTTAACAGTTATATTTCACATGTTTACAAATCAAAATATTTGAACAAAATTATATATGATAAATGACATAAATACTTATGTAGTAGACAAAAACTTTTCTTCTTGTTATGTACTATAATTTCGTGTTCGGGAAATTTGTATGTAAATATAGAAATAAGTTTATTTATAAATCCAGCACTATAAAAAAACTTTAACTTTTTAAATACTTGACATTTCTTCAACTACTATGAATAATGAAATATGTATCGGATGTCTTATTATCGTAAGGCGCGTAGATTTGATATAACTTATCTTCTTCGAGCCATTGATAAGACAAAATTGTAAATAAGACAAAGTATACAGCAAAGTAAAGTACCAACAAAAAGTAAACTAAACCACAAGTGAAAATTGAAAAAGTAAACAGTTTATAAGTATAGGAATTGAGACTATAATAACTATTTATAACTATTAATATAATCAATTATCTGTTATAATTTCTTTTCTCATTGACAAATTGTAAATGATTAAAAAAGAAATAATAACTATATTAAATTTCCACTTTTGAAATTAATAATTTTTAACTGTTATTACTTGTTTTTTTCTTTATTACGAATTAACTTTACGTTTAAAAAATAATAACTATTATTATTACTCTTTTATACACAGCTATATGTAATACAATGCAAATAATATCTCAAATTTTATGTTTATAAGCCGTTATTAATTATTTTTATCTTTTTTGTATTTATAATGAAAAGAAAATAATAATTACATAAAATTTGTAATACTTGGGACATATTGTTATGCAACATAAATGTTATTCAAGAAATACATTTATTTTTCGCTATTTATATAAGGTTAGCCCGCATGTGGTTCGGTAAGGGTGGTTTATGGGGGTTTGGTGGGTTAAAGGCAGGTTGGTTAGTTGAGGTAGTTCGCTCATGCATAGGATTAAATTATTTCAAGAAATAACAAACGACTAAACTTGTTTATCCCAGGGTTAGGTGGATTAACCTGCTGATAGTTTGACGGGGGTGGTTTCTAGGGGGTGAAACACCCCTTAAACATTTTTTTTTAAATCCGGAAACATGTCAATTTAATTTTGGTATTTTCTCATTATCAGTGCGATTTTTAAACCACTCGAGCTGATTTACTATATTACATGTCGTAAAACAGTACAAAAAATAGTTTATTTACCCCTATTAAAAAGGGGGTTGCAATCCTTCGGTATAAATGTTATGTCCTTAAAAGCGCCTTTTTATAAGAAATTTCTTAAAGTTGAGTTTACTGAAAAATATTCATTTGATGCTGAGAAATATTAAAAAAACTGATTTGAGGGGTTGAATTTCAGGGTGGATTTCACCCCTTAAAAGCCCTTATGGACCGATAAAAAAAAACACGTATCTAATTTTTTTTAAAGTACTACAATATATCCCAAAATCGATCAAATCGGTGAAGTCGGGTTGGGGTGGTTCCCTTGTAAGACTACAGAAATTGGGTTCAACAGTATTAGGAGCGTGAAAACATAGGTTAATTGAAATGCACGCACGCGCATAAATATTTTTAATGACTGTGACGGTCAACGTCGAATTAGCGCTAATAATATAACCTAATTGCTGCTCGCGGGGGCAGCACCTACTGGGGAGATTAGGAACGTAACGAAGGAATTCGGCACGCGAGCAGACGGAACGCGCGCGCTTGAAATTGAACCAGTGAAGCATTGACCATCAACGAGTTGGCCCGTGTGTACGAGATCAGCTGTCGCTACTCGAGTTACTGGAGTCGAATTCCGTTCGCAAAGCATCCAGACCAGAGTTTCAGAGATCGTCGCAGCCGAGGTGCCGTGCAACTCACAAGGGCGAAGGCTTGAGCCAGCAGACAAAAGCGCTGTGCGCGGTGATAACGCTAGTGCGTGCGTGAGGTTTCGCCATCGAGGGCGAAGCCATGTGCTTTCAAGTTCGCGACTCGCGACACAAACAAACAATAGACCTTTTCCGAGTGCGACTTATTGGTGTCATCTTCGAGCGTCCGCAAAACAAGGGTAAGCTGGCCAGCTTAATCTCGCGATCGTGGTTGCATGTATAACAATTAATTTCTCGTGTTCGAAGCGTGCATGCAATAGCTCTGTTAACAAAGAGCAGCGAGCGTCCCGACACTGTGTGTCCTCGATGAGCGAGCGCCGATGTCAACATAAACACGCGGGCCGATCCAGTGTAATATTTGATAGACAATAAAAGATTCTGTTCATGTTATTAACAAGTGCTTTCGGCTCGCTTATTCCATATTGCTTCCACTCATTTTCGTAGATTAGTAGATCTATTGATTGACTGACACCTGTTTCTCCATGCTCTCCGGATTATGTATTAAGCATAGATGATTACATTCGCCCTTCAATAAACTCGCGCGAATAAAAAATAATTAAACGGTAAGCAACCCCGTTACATGACAAATATTATTACAACTTTTGTAAATTTATCAATTTATTTAATCGATTGAAGTTCATCGAAAATTATTTAAAATCATGGAAATTCATTAAAATTAATTAATAATTACAAAAATATTTTGAACTTTTATGTGACAAATATTATTACAACTTTTTGTTAAATTTATTTGATAATATTATTTATATTTTTACAGCGTATTTTGGATACTGGCTAAAAATACATTATTTGGAATACTTGACTACAGAAGACCAGGTTAAATTGGATGTTTTATGAAATTGCAATACGTTTAATATTTACGTTTCGATAAAAATGTAGAACTTAAAGAAGCCTAAAGAAAAATCAAAAGAGTAAAAAAACATATTTTTTTTTTACTTTTAGAATCAAACTCAATATTATAAGTAATAACGAATAATGTTTTTTGTCTTATGAAACGAGTTTGAACACTGTACTTTGAAAAATTTTGTAAGTACTGTCATATTATCTGATTATGAAATAAATGAAATAGTAACACAACAGCCCTCTTTATGTTATATCAGAGATTAGTAGGGAGATAGCTAACCGTAATGTGTAAGAGCGTGCCTGACCGAACTCGCTAGTTCGAGCGCCCCGTGGTGGCCAAGTCGGCGAACTGAACGCACCTTCTCCTCCGGCGCTTCGGAGGGGGCATAGTATATGTGCGTCCGACAGAAGAGGGGAATGTGCGTTGGGTGCCAAACTGTGAGCATGCCGTACGCTCTGAGAGAGAGAGTGAAGGAGCGGAGCCAATGCGTGTGTTATACTCGCTCGCTCGAAAGCAATTCCGACTTTCCGAGCTGAGCTGGGATTCTCGCGGTTGTTGCGCTTCATCTATGACATCTCGAGTGATTCATTTTTTATGCTTTTTCAGGTGCAGTGCAATTTAATTAAGTGATTAACTATCGGGTCAAGCACGAAAAGTTAATCCTAAACTCCCATGCTCCCTGATAAACATATGTGACTTTCATACTTTCGCTACCAGTACGTCGATAGCCGTGGTAGCTAAGGCGTGCTCACGCTCCTCTCGTTTTTGCGGTCGCGGGTTCAAATCTCAATCGATTTACTTTTTTTATATTTAACTTTTTCGTAGCCTCACTGGCACTTATATAAACTCATCTGCGTATTAGTTATATACTTTGTTTGTTTAATAATATCTATTGAATTTTTTTTAGGTCTGACGAGTTTTTTTTTGTGTATCATTAGAAAAAATGTTCACCCATAATTGAACTTACATAACAAAATTATTCGCTCTTTTTCTGTTTAAATGTGTCATTCATTAAAAGACAAAAAGTAAGGTTTTTGATGTTACATTTACGGAGATATAAATATCATATTTAATTCACTCTCGTTTTATAAATTCTTGTTTTTTTTTTGTCGTACAATGTCTAACGTAGGCTTTGAGATCCATTAGTTCTTTTTTAGATTGAACCATCTGCAAATATTCTCTCTCCGTTCATCGCTAATTCTTTTTTTTTTTTTATTCCTACAAACATCACAATTAGTTTATAGAATAAAAACATATTAGTTTATTCAAGACTTGTAATGAGATGATGAAAGCGAATCAAAGTTAAACCGACCTGGAGATGACAAGAACAAAAATTAAGACACACGCACATGCAATTTTTTGCCAGTGCATAAGCAAGCGCATAATCCCTGTTTTTGTATCATTTCTGCGAGTGATGTGTACATGAAAAAAAAATATATGAAATGTCTATTATACCAGACTTATAATATCTAGATGAAATATATATCCAGATGTATCGTATAAACGCGTTACACCTTTGTGACTATTTTCACAAAATTCATGGGATTCCGCGCAAATGAAGTGAACAAAAAAAATTAAATACACAACAGCACGATGGCCAAAAGAAAACGATCAGAAATTCAAGCATTGCATATGCTTAATCTATCAAGATGAAAAAAAAAATCGGTACTAGTAATTCTGTAAGCAGGTACAACGGAAGGTAAAAGAGAGATTATGAAAAAAAGACGCGCATACTATGACGTCTAACGATTCGGTGATTAATGATAATACAAATTCAACAACTGCCAATCTTCTACGATTAATCAGCTACAGTTGAATCATCAAACAATATGTAAAAAATAGTAGAAAAGACAAATCAAAGTGAAAAATCAATAATGTATGATATACGCGAATAGTAAAAAAACCGCTTAAACGCCGTTATTTAAGTTAAAAAGACGTTGTAATATATACGCCAAACAGCGACACACACACACACACACACACACACACACACGCATATATATATATATTTTTTTTTCATGTTTCACTAATATCATACATTTTCTTCATTAGGTACATGATTATTTTCGTCAAATGAATCACAGAAAAGTGGACTCGTACAAGTCTTTGTACATGATAAACTGTACATAAAAATTGTAAATAATGAAAGTATTTATTAACGATTTTCACAGAAAGTTATATTATAAGTCAAACTATTTCTACACAAATTATCTTATTGACGTTCATTTTTATGTTTATTTACATATTGATTAACGTGATGGCCAGATAAATGAAACACAAAAATAACTTACAATTCTTTTCTCATTAAAAATTAATAAAAATTATAATAATTCTGTACGTGGTTACAATTTAAAAAGTAGTTGAGAATTATTATAATGTATATATAATTATCCAAAGACAAAAAAAAAATACTTTCACACGAAAGTTATAAAAATTTATATATTTTTTTTTCATTGAAACCATGTTTTTTTTTATAAATATAAACATAGGATGCATAAGAAAGCTTCCTTTACTTCGCGTTTGTCTGCATTTCTAAACGGTGTATTTGATTTAAAAGATTTAAAATTTGTTTATGTGACGAGAGCAAGCAGTACGCTTGCTCCTCGTCTGCCCTCCTTCTCTCTCTCCCTCTTATCGCTCGGCATGGCGACGTGGTCAGCGTTGGGCGCATATATGTATTGCGCCTAACCACTGGCCTTTATGTTTTTCCTGCCGCCGAAGATTGCCGAGCAAGATTGAGAGCGCCCGAAGAAGCAAGAGCGCAGCGACTATGAGGCAGAGAGAGAGAGAGAGAGAGAGAGAGAGAGAGAGAGAGAGAGAGAGAGAGAGAGAGAGAGAGAGAGAGAGAGAGAGAGAGAGAGAGAGTTAGCGAGCATGCTAGAGTGCGCGCCTATGCACGCACTATGCCGATTTGGGCCGGCGTGTAACGCGCGACCAATTAGCGCTTTTGTCGCACGCCGTCTAATGAATGCGCTTGGTGGGAGAGCCCGGCGAGAGTGCGAACGCTGACCATGCGTCAAGTCGTGTGATCTAGTTTCCGGAAGAAAGTTAAGGAGAGAAGTTGGAAGTAGCGAAGAAAAGAAGCAGCGCCAAGAGAGAAAAAGAAGTACACGTGCAGCAGTGACCAGATCAGGGTGAGACGAGGCTACGTGTGGCGACAACACCTGCAGCAGGGCATTCAGTGTCGCCCTCGCCAACGTGCACGGCACGACTTCCAGTGGGTTCACCACGGGCTACGCCGAGGAAGACGTCCAGCCAGCGGCAAGGTCAACTCCCCGTTGCCGGCTCATCGCCAAGGACAAAGGTCAGGTTATCTCTCTCTCATGGTGATGCGCGGCCGCGTAGGAACGATAGGTAGCCAGGCAATCCCTTGCCGGCTACACTCATCGTAACGCGGTAGTGAGGTTTCGGTGTATCTTTTTTTTTACTTGTAAGGAGGCGAATGGTCAAGGCGATTTAGTCGCCGGCAATTCGTCCTCCCGCGTTAGTTTAAGTTGTTCTGTACATGTGCGCGTGATGTAAACTTTATTATAACCGATTTTGTATTTGTTTGTCTGAATAGATTTAAGTTGTATGTTCTAATTAAGGAAAATCATTTATTCATTCGACCTATCCTCTCGTTCCCCGATTGTTAAAGAGGGAAAGTGCCTCTCTTACTCTCCCCTTAATAAATTGGTGACGTCAGTGCCGAATAAGGCGCTGCCCTCGTTACAATTACATCAGCAGATTTCCACACCACCACAGAGGTACTGCCGTTCAGTGTGCCAGGAACACAGGTGTTATTTGTAATGAGCCGTAAAATAAAAATATTGTGCCATTCATAATATTGGTTCCTGATCATTTGCAATTTGAATTTGTCTTCGTAACACACTTGGCGCGTTGTGTTTTTTTCATTTTTTACTAATCTATCTACACACATTTACGCGCTCAAAAAATAGTAATCAGGTTTAACGATGATCTCTTTTTTCAGAAACATGCAGTATAACATTTTATTGAAAAAAACTCACGATGAACTACATTCATTTTTGAAAAGTTATTCGAACGATAGGGGTAATGATACGTATCTAGTTTTATTGTCATTGCAAAAAAAAAAAGTTATTCAAATTCAAAGTTAGTAGAAAAATTATTATTATTGACCTTTAAATGTCAATAATTTTTTCAATATGCATTTTAGAGAAAAATTATATTGAACTTTTTTTTTTAAGGGAGTATGATGGTTAAGACTATTACAATGAGAATTGCTTGTAATTTGGACACAATGTGTATTATGGGAAAACGCTGTTTTTTTTTATTATAAAGATATTCAAAAATGAGAAAATTATGAAAAAATTCTGAGGGACGTAGAAAAAAATACTGAATCCATTGGTGCTTTCAAAACTATCAATCAGAGCCTGTAACAAAAGATATTTATATGGTAAATTTACGATTTTCGTCAGTGAATTGACGTGGCAACGTCGCATGTACTCCATGTGCCTCGGTATAGGCGCGGATTTCGGAATGACGCTACGAACTTCTGAACAGCGAAGCTCACTTTTTTATTAAAAATTATTCTGTTCATGTTAATAAAAAATTTTTTATATCATATTAATAAAAAACTCCACATTTATTAATTTAATAAACATTTTATTTATTATATTAAATAAATAATAATTATTACGAAATAACAGTAGTTATTTTTCTCACTCATTTTTTCAGTCTGTATAACATCAGGTTACCTTTTATAGGTTAGCCCGCAAGCATAATAAATATACGAGGTAGCAGACGTACGTTGAGCGTTTAGAGCGGAGTATATGCGCGACGTTGCCAAACTTACGATTGGTACTAAGCGAATCAATATAAAGTCGAGGCGTTCTCTCAACTGACTAACTACGTACCCACCATACTCCCTTAATTGGGCAGATTTATCGAAATAAATTTATTTAGATTGAAAATTTATCATTTTCACTAT